CTGTTGAGAACCTTCCTCTGCTATTTATTTCATGATATAGGATTAAGGGAATAATCCCTTATGGATTGACCTCCACCGGCTTACCAGATCTTATGATGCCTTCGTTCGCCATCGTATGTGACTGTATGTGATGATTGCCATGCATGGTATTGTTATGAGTTTGTGGTCCTTCGTCTGCCTTGAGCTTTCTGGATGGGGTGTTACTATGGGAATTGCGTCTGTTGTACGGCGTGAGGGGATATGTTATTGGTGGGATGGGCCAGGCAATGCTGAGAGAAGACAGGCTACGTGGTATAAAGGCATAGAGGAGGGCTTCTCAGTTGCCTGCTGTCATCCGGATATGGCTATCATCTGAGTGCAGTCTCCACTGACGAGATCGGAGCGAGTGGGCGATGATGGACTGATCGTGCTCATGCGGCGGCGTGGGTAGAACGGACGGGGGGAACCCTTAGATTGGTCAGGGGTGCGCGGTGGTGATGATCACCGTGCGGAGGAACTAAGTGATCGATGGGATGTATTTGTCCGGTTGGTTGTTATCGAGGACTGGGCGGAACACCTGTGGTGGCGAGGGTGGAGTCCTCCGTCGTGGAGTTGGGTAGGATTGATGGGAGATGATCCTGACTATATCTCGAGGCCCTGGACAGAGGGCATTGGGAGTGTGCGTATCGATGTGGCGATACTGGGGGAGCATCCTGCCATAACGAAGCTGTGTTTCCGGGTCTATGTGCGCTCGAGCAGGGATTTGCATATTTTTCATCTTTTATTTTTTGACGAGTGAGTACGGAGGGAATGTGTGAGTGGGTTTTCAGGGACATGTGTTCTGAATTTTTTTATAGGATTAAAGTACTACTCTATAGATAGGCCATGAGGTGAATGTTAGCTCAAGAAAGGTCTGGGTTGACCCAATGAACTGAAGTTCGAGAAATGTGGAGTAGAATAGGTGTGTAGTCGCTTACCTTCAGCAAACGTTATTGTGTAATGTTAGTTCTGTCAGCAGATTGCAACTAAGGGAGAAATAGAGGCTGTGATTGGAGCGAGCTGTGGTTTTGTTGTTGTGATTGATTCAAAATGGGTTAATTCGCATAAATTTTGGGTACATGGTTTGATGGCCTTGAGCGGATCGGAAGGCGTTCGTGCTCTATTCTGATCATGTATGGATGTAATCCCGTGTGTGTCGTATCAAAATTGTCCCGATCACTCAAAGTGTAGTCTGAATATGATTGAGTTTGCAATAAGTCCAAACACGAGACACAAATGGCTTTATGGTGTAAACGCTAGGGGAATTTGTGATTGATGAATGGGAATTCCTGTTGGAGGAATGTCTTGTGGCAGCAGTTTGGAGTACATATCGTTTATGTACTGAAGCGTCCACAATATGTGTTTCACACACATCATCACACACACACACACACACACACACACACACACACACACACACACACACACACACACGCATACAGAGGTTTTAGTCCCTTGCAAAAACCCTTTAGGTTTCAGGTTTGAAATAGTACCTTGAAGATGATTAATAGAGCAAGCTTGAAACAGGTGTAAATGGCTGTTTGGGGGTTACATAGTGGTTAACCCATTGTCATGGAATGGTTGATTCCACTGTATAGAAGGGTTGGTGTACTATGTTTACTACGAGAAAAGGAATTCTGAGCCTGGTACTAATGGGCTTCGGTAGGCCTCAATACACTATTTTGTTGTTTTAGAAAAATGGAGAAATGGTAGGTGCCTGGTTTGAGAATACTGTCCCAAGGTACGCCCATGCTTTTTCGGAGAAACTGGTGTATGAGGGTACTACGGGAACCACGGAAAAACCCTGGGACTCCGCGATAAAATTGAACAGACCGAAGTAGTCCCTAGCTAGTACCATTTGTTAATTTGGCGCCAAAACGTCTGAAAAACGAGATTAGGGACTGACCGTCCGTACTTAAGGAGGGATTAGCCTCTGGAATAGTCCTCTCAGTCCGGTCGGGCCAACGAGCTGACACACGCGGGAAAGCCGAAATACTATCTCAAGTGCGGAAGCTTAGTTGCCCTCCAGACTCGAATTCTGCCGATACACCGCAAAGCGCCGCTATGCCGAACACTCCACTTTGTGTTGCTGCGTCAGTTGTAGTCGACCTTTCCCCTCAACCTTTCGTCTCTTTGCCGAGGGCGTCACTCACCATATCGATAGCAGTGGCTCTATCCTGCTCGTTGATTCCATTGCGAGTGTCTGTTGTCTGCACTCCACGCATCGCGATCTCATTGGGGTCGCGGAGGATTCAGTAAAGATATCATGGAATCTCCCTTCGGTTTTGAGGAGATGTTGGATGCTCGCATTGCAGAAGAGGATACCACCGATCCGCAGCCAGAGGTGAAGTAATTCGATTGACCAGATTGCCGTTCGCCTTCCTATGATATCCCCCTTTCCTCCTCCCTTCGCAATAAGATTGAATGGTTTTCATGTACGTATATCCAAACGTTATTTTATGTGCTCTTGATGTTTCCTCTCATGATCTAAGTCTGTGGCATGACTAGTGAAAAGCGTTCTAGGATGTTTGCCACCACCCTAGCCATAAAATAACGACCCAGGCTCTCACCTACCCTTGGTGTGGTAAAATAGGTGAGTGACGCGCACGATTGAGAACCACTATTGGTGTTTTCCCAGGATTGCTCTGGATAAACGCAATAATTATTATGAGTTAAACTTACCATCGCCCTGTGCTGCGCCTGCAATATCACGGTGTCCTTGTGTTTTTGTTGATGAGTTTGCGGGGTTTCTGGAATGCAGTTGGTATTGGGGCTTCCGCTTTTTATATGTCATCTCCTCCCTGTCTTCATCCTCCATATCTTCATCGTCCCTGTCTTTCCTTCCCCCCGTATCCTCTTCCATGGTTGTCGTCGTTGGCATGTTCTATCTGCCATTATAGGCTATGATTGCTACCGACAGATTGCGGGAACGTAGAGAGCTGCCATGAATCGTTTCAAGATCAAGGAGGTGACCGATCCTCGCTGGAGTGTGTTGTCCTTCATGAGTTATGAGAGTAGGAGGCGTGAATGGTGATGCGCCGAGTGAAGTGGAGATGGGGATGGGGGAGTGATCTGACGAGTGAGAGTGGGTCGTCAAGATCTGTCTGCAGGATGAGCTGTATTTAGGATAGTTGTGAATACATGCATTGCCTGGCCGATCTTCGCTGGAGTTTTGCTATCGAAAATGGGAGGGGTGAATGATGATGAGCCGAGTAAACGGGAAGTAGGGGGGGTGAGCGATCTGACGAGGAGGATTGGGATATCATGATCGTTCAGTAAGACAGGGTGTATTTTTGAGGGCTGTGGAAATTTCCATCACCTGGTTGATCTTTGCTGGAGTTCTGCAGACCTTCGCGGGTTACGAAAATGAGAAGGGTGAAGGACGATGAGCCATGCGAACGAGAGAGGGAGGATGATCTGACGTATGGGGTTGGGCTGTCATGATCCCTCAATGGGACGGGCTGTATGTAGGTAAGCTGTGAAATCTAACAGTGCCTAGCCGATCGTCGCTGAGAGTTTGCTGTCTTTCAAGTGTCACGAAAACGAGGGCAATGGTGACGCGCCAAGGGGAAGTGGTAATGGATGTGGGAATGTGATCTGGCGAGCGCGATTGAGTTGTCACGATCTTTCAGTATGACAAGCTGAAAGTAGGAGAACTGTGAAAGTGTTCATCGCCTAATGAAGTGACTCAGTCCGTGACGAGAGATTCTGGTAATGAGACAAGTATGGATTTCTGGCAAACAGGACTTGGTAACGAGTGTACAGTGAGGGAGTTGGGGTCGGGTATGCTAGGTCGTAAATGTAACAGGTAGTTTCCATCGGAGGAAAGTTGGGGAGTTTTGTACTCTTATGCAGATCGTACTGGATTCATGAGGTTTGGTATTTCCTCCTCGTAATCGCTGATCGATGCAGTTTGTTTAATACTGAATACTCAGGAGTAGGCGTGCTTTATGCTGCAAACTTCCGCAATGGTGAGAGGTCGACGGATGTTTTGGCTGAGTGTATCGCTAACGATGGGAAAGCAGTTCGTGGATTGGAGGGATACGATCTATCTGAACTCTGTTGAGAATACGGGAGTAGGTAATGATGGATGGAGGAGTGGTTAGGATCAGAGATAGAATGGAGTTTTTTCATGCTGTGGGGTTGTCTTTTCCATCGGAACCCTGTGAGTTTTTTGTAATGAGCATTGGGTTGAGTATATCTTCATCTAATCATGGACCCCGGCTTTGCCACTCTCCCATATCCTCTCTTAAACGTTATGAATGTTCCATTACATCAAAAAAAATTATCTGATGTAGTGACGCGTGAATACCCGAATGCATGCTCCGTGTCTGTCTATTGGTAACGGGCTCCCTGATCCTTTTCGCAAAGTGCTTGAGTGCGATTATTGGTATAGGTGAAATCTATGCATATATGTGTCAGCCATGGAATGCTTGATGGAATCCCTGGAATTTGTGGAGTTCATTAGGAGTCCCACTGGAGTGTATCTTGCGAGGTGATGGCGGGGTGGAGCACGTATGTGTTATGTGCTGAAGCGTCCATAATATGTGTTCACACACATCATCACAAACACACGTCCATTCAGGGGATGTAGCCTCGGTGGAAGTTTCTTCTCGCGGCTGATACCCGCGGCCTCTCGCTCATGACTCTCAATTGAGATACATTATGCTCCGGGATATGGTAGATCTCTTAATTTACTAGTCGTCGAGTTCCTTGGTTTTCAATCTTGTCGTCATGCGATGCTCATGTGAGTGTTGTGGTTCGCTGTTTCCAGGATTTTGTTGCTCCTCAAGTGTTGTGGATTGCGGATCTTGTTACCGGTGACAAGGCCTGGCTTACTCGATTCCGCCCCCCCCTCCCGCCCCACCCAAGCCCGGATTGCATATGCGCAGAAGCAAGTGATTGTTGAGGTCAAAGAGAGGTCGATAACCCCTGAGATTCACGCTCGTCCGCTAATTGACCATTCGTCTTTTAACGATTGGGCCGAGCTAATTTATGTCTATCGACATAAAAGGAACGATTTCGTTGATACCATAAATAGGATGGCGAGGGTGACATCGACAGTGAGTGAGGCTGTGGGGAGTGAGGATAGATCGATTAATGCCAATACGATTGATGCAGAGGTTAAGTTCGTTAAACTCTGGGCCGCTGACTCGCGATTTCACAAAGAGAAGGATGTACGCAGGGTAGTGATTGCTGACGAGGTGGCGTTGGAGGATGAGAAGGACGAGATGACTGAGGAGGAGAAAGAGTATATGAGAATGAAGGACGCTGAGGTTGCAAGGACGAAGGCATCTCTTGGATCGTCGAAGAAGAAAACCTTCTTGGACATGTGTAGGAATGCATTCATTCCCCTTGCCTTGCCCAGGTGGGTCGAGACGATGTCCACGGCCTTCTCTGACAAGATTTGGTCCCTCGAGACCTTCAATTATCTTGGCCCGGTCGATTAGAGGGGTTACAGATTACTCGCGTCGTTGACACAGGACGAAATAAAGTCCGCGTATGATAGAGCGCTTGAAATGAACACAGCCCCTTTTGACCTTAGATTTCTATTCAATGGGGATGGAATTTTCCTACCGCCAATGATTTTGATGGACACAAATAAATGCTCTTTCCCACGACCCAATGTCTTGATAAAGGGGAACAAGCCCCCCAGAATCCCTCAGCGTTGGCCGAGTTGAAAAGAATCTGGAATGTGGGGAGACCTTACCTAAAGTGCAGATGTGTTTCTGAGGGGAAGGCTGATTGTGTGTCTGGCCCTGCTTGGTTTGATCATCTGATCCGGTTCCTTCTGTACAATCTGGATATTATCTATCCAGATGCGCCAAGCCCGAAAGCGAAAGTATCCTCATTGATCAGGTGCTTGTCCACATGTTGGAAACCATTGATGCTCACCTCCTTGTCGTTCGGATGTGTGAGAGAGGTCATGATGCTTTTCGCAAGAAGGATCATTGTAGATCCCTCCCTGACTGCAGAATCTGTATTAGTCGGGGTGATCGACGCTGACCGAAAAGCATTCAAAGCATGCGCGAAGCTGCTCTTGATGAGCAAGTATGTAGAGAAGAGGTCAAGGAC